ATCCCATTAATTGAGATTTTTACTCTGGCTTGAGATTTTGATTTTGAATGAGATTTTGTTTTAAATAATATCAAAATATTCACTGTCCACCTTCTGCGTGGTTATTGTGACTTGGTTCAAAAGCTTTCCGTTTAAAATTGAGGGACTTAATGATAGGCATTATTTCTGTTTATAACTTCTTTTTTGAATCGAGTTATCTGGGTAATTTATATTTGTGTTTCACTCTTTCGAGAAAAACTATTTTTTGTTCTATTTGTGCTAATAACATTTTAATTAAGGGACTTGGAAGGTTACAAGGTCTAACACCTGCCTGATAAGGAGATATGAGAAGTTGCTTATAAACAATAAAAAAGTCCTGCAGTCTAACTATGAAAAATTTCGTTAATCTATTAAATCACGATTTTTCTTTAAGTTTTTGGTTGTAAAACTGCATCAATATTTTTAAAAAAAATTTCACTTGCACTTTTCAAAAATTAGGCTTTTCTTGTACACTAAAAATCGCACACTACTGGCTAGTCTAGGTTCAGTTTGTTTACGGCTGTGGAATTTCGTCACAATAAACTGAATATTATTTTAACTGATTTTAAACACAGAAGTTGCTTATAAGCATACGTTCGAAAAGGTTTATAGTCTAAGTATATCACTGCCCATTACACGTATGCTTTCGTAGTTATCATGGAATAGCACGATGTAGAATTCTATAACATCAAAGGTGTCTCTGAATTCTTAAAAACAATGCATTTTAGCCTCTTTTTATCTGTGTAAATCTTTTGTTGACGCATTTCTATGGGAAGAGAAATAGTTTGGTGAATCCATTTAGTGTGGTAAATACCCGTGTTTAGTGTTGAATTTGTTGCACCAGTATCTATGACTAATTTTATTTGTCGTAATTTTGTGTCTATCCCTTATATATAGGATAGTGCTGAGAGGCAGAAGAACGAAAATTTTCCGAAGGGGTTTGATTGTAACTTACCTCATAATTTTAAATAGAATTTACGTTCATCCGTTTGGGTAATAGAACATGGTTAGATTGATTATATGTTTTGTACTGGATTGCAAAATTCGCCTGTACATTAAAACGTTTTTGATTTTAATTTGGTATGAATTTGATTTTATTTTGTTCTAAGGTTTAAAAAATTAACATTTACATCTCGAGGTCCCGGTTATGTTAAGATCTAAGTAATTGCCTCTTACCACTCACTGGTGGTGGGAAGCAAGCTACTTGGTTGAGATTTTGTAGGAATTCAATTTATTCAATAGTATCAAGGTTCTTAAAAACAATTTCTTAAAACTATTTGTGTATGATAAAAAATGTGTCTTATGTTTGGCAATAAATGTCACACATTAAAATGATTTAGGCATACATAAGTATTTATACATATCTGAATTTAAATAAAGCTCACTTTGCTTCATTTACATTCACATCAATTTATTCGTGTTTAATTCATTTATTTAAAATTCTATATTTAAAATCCCGTACGTCGCTGTCCACGGTTGCACGTAGACTGTCCTTTTTTGGTTCGTTCGATCTTTGTCTTCTTCCCCTGCAAGACGGGTAGCTGTTGCCTAGCATGTTATCCGTCTGTTACTTTACATGCGTGCATTTGTTATTTGATTTGTTACTTTTCTTCTAGCCGTGGGGAAAAAAAATAACAAATTTCCCTGCTTTGATTCACGTAGTTTTGTGGATGTAGTGGTAAAACGCCGAAATAGTACGATATTAGCTGCGAAATGGTTACCCCGTCTTGCAGGGTGTTATATGTACTAACTAAAAAATATGTTTAATAATAATTAAACACCGGGTAATGTGGAATAAAGTTGTGCAGATGGAAGCTTGCACTACACATTATGATTGAAATTTGGGTTTTTTGTGGATTAAAATCTTGTTGCTTGAATTTTTGCCTGTGGCGATTGAAACTGGACTTATTTTGTGAGTTAATATTTTGGATAAAATTTTGATTGAAATTATATGATTTTTTGTTGCCGATAATTTCGCCAGAAATTAGATAAATTTTATTTTGAATATTTTTGATCGGTTTTTAGTTCGATTAAAGAGTCGCTATGTTGTCTACTCGGCGGTGAGCATATCCAGCTTGAAAAATGATGTTCATTGCTCCTTTTAGAGTGTTTGGTTTTCTACTTTACTTCTTCTATTTACTTTTTATTTCGTCAAACAAGCGTAGACAAGTTGTTTAACAGTTAGTTGGCCTTGAGTGAATCGAAAAGTTCGCGGCCACTTGAATCAGTCGCCAAAGCTATGTTTTAATGACAGTCCAGGAAGTTGCCAGTCAATTTATTTTTTTAAATTTTCCAAGGGCTTTCGGTTGTAACTTGGTATTTACGTACATCCGCTCGGGTAATAGAAGATAGTTAGCTTGATTATAGGATTCGTTCTGGATTGCAAAATTTTCCTGTGCCTTAGGGCGTTTTTGATATGAATTTAAATTTTTTTCCTAAGGTTTGAAAAATTAACATTTACATCTGTTGGTCCCGGTTAATGTAGAATAAAGTTTTGCTGATGAAAGTTTGCTCTACATATTATGACTGAAATTTAGGTTATTTTGTAAATTAAAATTCCGATTAAAATTTTGGTTATTTAAATTTTGTTGTTGAAAATTTTGGCTGTGGCGAATGACAATAGAATTTTTTTGTGAGGATTGAAAATATGTGATTTTTTGTAGGAATACGAACGAAAATTTCAGTTCTTCTTTATTTATTTTTGATCTTTGAAAGTCAGACAGACCACCGTGTTATGGCCTAAATGTATATGTAGCTAGCTTTGTGGCTTGTTTTTTTTTTTTTTTTTTTTGAATTTTCTTATATATATTTTAATTTAAAAGTATTAAAAACTAATTACTAGGACATTTGCACTAAATTATTATTATTGTAGCATTTGAAAGTGAATGGAAGCCGAAAGGCATAGAGGTTGATAATAAAAGCATACAGGCATTTATTTGTATAAAAATTAAATATAAACAAACGCAATACATTTGTATACCGTAGTATTTATATATAAGTCTTAGAGATATTAAAAAAAATAAAATAAAATAAAATAAAAGACATATTTCCAATGTATAAGAAAATTAGTTATAAAATGTAAAATTAACGCTTATATACCTGCATATAAATACAATATTACATACATATAAACACCATTACATATTAGTTAGTTATAAAATAATGTGATTATACATACATACGTACATACATATACAGATATTGCCAAGTGTGTAGTGAATAGGAATAGTATTAAGGTCCCGTACTCGTATTGTTTAAATTAAAAAAAAAATGCGTGCATTATGTAATAAACCCCATGAACTGTACTTACATACATATACGTATGTATATTGAATTAATTATGTATAGAAATGCATACAGTTCTGTGCAAATAATTAGCAATGTCATTTAAGTATTATTTAAACCGAATTTTTAATTAAAAAATTCAGTTTTCCAAGAGTCTTGAAATTAAAAAATCCGTTGCATCAACCGCTGTTTGAACTCGTGCTCATACTGACGGTTCCAAGTCTCATCAACTCTAATATTGCGGTTGCAAATTTCATGCAAAACATCTTGGCAAAACTCCAAGAAATCTGTACAACTCTCCAATCGTCGCTGCTTGCCGCATGACAAGCGTTCGCGGTACCCAACGCGCAATAATTTTTTTCGTATTGAAATGTACATACAAAATCTCTGGGGCTTGTTCTCTGCTAATCTGTAATCCTTCTGCTATCTGCCACATTTTAATTCTTCGATCAGCCTCAGTACTAATTTTTCGGCTTTCTGAAGATTTTCTTCGGCAACGACCGTCGCTAGGTGCAACGCACGAAGGGTCATCTTCACAGGTCTCTAATTCTTGTTAAAACAGCCGTTTATAAAAGGACAGAGTCTTGCAGAACTATTGACATCTCTTTCAAAACTTCTTTCGGCGTACTTCCTTTTCTTCCAAGGAACTGAATCATATGATAAAATGGTTTTAGTTCCTTAGTTAGTTTGATCTTGTAAGAGTGTACGCCAAGATCTTTTCGCAATATTCGTCAAAATGTGTCGTCTGGGAGAGGGCCAACTCTTGAGAACGATGTTAAATTGACTGTTTTGGACTCGTTTGTGACGGACGCTTATACCGCAGCCACTTCACTGGCACGGGAACATCAAGTACTGAATATGCTGACTCAAATTTGTTCACTATACCATGAATTGCTTGCCTACTGGGACGAGACTTTCGATCGAAAATTGGCGCATTAGATTTTCGGCAGTAAATTTTAATTATTTGTAAACGTTGACCGTTCGCGTAATTTACCATGATGAAAATGTTGACTTAACTGAATATTTTGACACTCGACAATGGGATTAAAGGTGCGTTCACACAGGTGGGATTAAAGGTGTGTTCACAGTTGTCAAGTCGCAAATGAAAGTCCCTTTAAATAAAAATATTTGTATTTTGACAGCTAACGCAGAGCACGACTATTATTTTGAACGCAACTGTGTGTACTATTTTAATTAGCGTAATTAATATATGAAAAAAATTAATTAAAAAAATTCTGTTTTTTTTTCTCAAAATTTTGTGAAATATATATATTTTTTTCTAAATTGGAAATTTATTTTAATCAATTATATATTGAAAATTGTTGAATAATATATGGAATAATTGAAAACAGTTATTACAAAACTACCTACTCTGCTTTCATCGTATTTTTTTTCTAAAAACGCAAATAAGAGCAACACTGAGACACTGATCACTGAGACTTTTTAATAAAAAAAGGAAAATTAAAAAAAAAAATTTGCATTACTTGGCGTTGTTAATTATGTACACGTAACTGTATTTTTTTATATATTTAAAAAAAATTTTATTTATGTATAATATACAATATATCCGATAGATTCGATTAAGAAACAAATTTTATATTATTTCTTACATATTTATAACACCAATTACATGCATACATAAATATTGTATTATTTAATTAATAATAATATATTTTTTTGTTTTTTTTTTAAAATAGGCGTAGATCGTGCCACCCAACTTTTTCTTTCCATGCAAAGTATAGTCAAAGATTGTGTCATGAGTATCGTGGAATTATATCAAATTCTACTCATACCGAGCTACTCTGTAGAAAACTAAGTAAAGCTGCGAGCGCAAAAAAAAAAACCAAATTCTTTAAAGCAACATACCGTTAGTCGTAAGTGTTTTCCAAATGAAATCATCATGAAATAAACGGAATTCGGTGAGAGCACGGGCTACTAAAAGCGCATACTCATCCATTCGAGCTCATTATTTAATATTGAAAGTAATAATTTGCATGTTCATTTGGAGGCGTTGTGAGGAGTGTTTTCTCGACTTACTAAAAAAGCTACGCATATTTCAAAAAAAAAAAAAAGTCATTACATTTTCATAAAATATAGAAAATATTTTTTTCCATTACTAATTTTCCAATTTTCTGCGCATTATTTAAACTCTTTCAATTTTTTCCTGCTTAATTTAAACACAAAAACACTTATGAAAACACATTAGCCTTTGAATTGAATACTAAATTGTATGTTATGTAAGCGCGAATTATTCAAAAAAAAAAAAAAAACTTAATAAATAAATAATATTATATAAGCAATAAACGTAGCATAAAAAAGCAAATAAAAATTGTAAGCTTTGCATGTAAAGCTGTCTTTATCATTTGTATTTCCTCATGTGGCATGTTTGGTGGCATTGCCGGCAAGAAAAAAATTCTAAATTTAAAAGCTATAACAACTAGGTTCACTTGCCTACATACATACATACATATATATTTACATATGAAAAATAATAATTATCGCAATAAAAACTATAACTATCGACTTTCGGTCGCAAATACTACACAAAAACAAGACAGAAAAAAATGCATTTTCCTTCTACAGCTATGCGGGCACATACATATGTATATTATATTTAGTGAAAAAAAAACATAATTTTTCTTTTTCTTTAATACTCATGCTGATCATACAACTCTCTTCTATTCAAGGTTTATAGAACACAAGGTTATCGAAATCATATTAGGTTAAGTAAAAAGTTCGTTCGGTTTTTATCTAAGAGGTGGCGTTATTGTCCATAGTACTAGTGTTACGTGTCGCATCATGTCCTACTTTACGGCGCTGAAAACGTGCTTATTCACACTAAAAGTTCGTCTTTGACAGTTTTTCGATTGATTGATTCAGTACGTTGTAGGCGCTCGTCACAGATGGACACCATGCAAAGAGAAAATTCGCTATATATTACAATTTTTCTTCGATCAAGGTGAAAAAGCAGCCAAAGCCTCTGAAAGATTTAATTTAGTTTATAAGCCCGATACTGTAAACGAACGTGTAGCACGAAAGTGGTTTGCTCGGTTCCGTTCCGGTAGTTTCGATGTCAAAGATGCACCACGCGTCGCGAGGCCTGTCGTGAAAAATTGAGATAAATTCATGGAAATAGTGGAAACAGACCGTCACGTGAGCACTTATTTAATTGCTGAGGAATTAAAGATGAGCCAGAAAACTGAACTATATGCATAACCTTGAATGCAAAAAGAAGCTCGATGTTTGGGTGTAACACGAACTAACGCAAAAAACATGATGGACCGCATTCCCATTCGCGAATTGCTGCTGAATCGCATCAAAATCGACCAATTTTTGAAGCGCCTTGTGACTGGCGTTGAAAAATGGGTCACTTACGACAACATCGAGCGCAAACGGTGGTGGTCAAAGCTCGGGGAAGCGATCTAAACGCCAAGCCAAGACCGGATTGACAGCCAAAAAGGTTTTGCTCTGTGTTTGGTGAGATTGGCGAAGACTCATCTAATACAAGCTGCTCCTCTATGGCCAAACGCAATTCGATTCGGCCCTTTATTGCCAACAAATGGACCGCTTGAAGGCAGCACTCATCCAGAAGAGGCAATCTCTGATCAACAGAGGCCGATTTGTGTTTCAGCAGGACAACGCCAAGCCACACACGTCTTTGGTGACGCGCCAGAAGCTCCAGGAGTTCGGATGGGAGGTCCTAATGCATCCACCTTATAGTCCGGACCTGGCACCAAGTGATTATCATCTTTTCCTGTCCATGGCGAACGCGCTTAATGGTGAGAAGTTGGCCTCAAGAGAGGCCTGTGAAAATTGGCTCTCCGAGTTTTTTGCCAATAGGCACGCAGCCTTCTACGAGAGGGGTATAATGAAGTTAGCCAACGAATTGCAATAAGTTTACGAACAAAACGGCGCATATTTGACTTAAATCTGGCAAAAAATACACAAAGTTGTCTTATTTTGAAAAATCAATAAAAAAAACCGGAAAAAATTTAATGACGAAGTTAGTTCAATTTGTGGGTTGCCAAAGATTTTAAAATAAATTTCTTAACTTCATCTATTAAACAACTTCACATTTTGACTATAAAATTCTAAGGCTATGAATTATTATTTTTTTTTCGTCTTTTAATTAATAATAATCACAATTAAAACCTTCTGAATAGTTTTATGTCGAACAAATGTATTTTAATTTTCAAAAAAATTTTATGGGATGAGAAAACAATTTCAAAAAATAACCAAAATCAAAAAAATTAAACTTGGCATATTGCCTTTGTCTTCTAAAGAGCTTTCGAGAAATGGATGATCCATATCTTGTGAAAAAATCGTGTTTGAAAATTCGAAGCGGTGAAAAAGTGTGCAGTGGGATATTGTGAAAAAAAATTTGAAAAAAGTTGTGTGAGTGATTTATATTAATGTTTTGAAAAATTAAAACAATCGCGATATTGTAGAATATTCGTTAACCGATCCTGAAATTAATAAAACTTAAATTCACCGGATAGGTAAAAATATAATATATCAGCAAGAATTAAGTTATGATTTGCAAAAAAAAAAAAAAAAAAAAATTATACGCATTAAATTTGTGTAAATATTTGGTTTTATTCAGCCAACTCAACTTTTTTTTGATCAAAATCTTGCTCAGAAGCTTATTTTTCGCTAATTTTTGCGCGATCTTTTAATACAAAAAAATGCTAAATATGTGACTGCGATGGCGTTAAAACGTAAAATCAAAACAAAATTTGTATAATTTGTTTTTTTCTGCTGCATAAGAAGTTTTTCTCATACTTACATACATAAACATTTTTGAAAAAGAAAAAAATAATTTCTTTTTATTATATAATATCGAATTCCGCCCACTGTATATATGACGAAGTTGATTCGGTGACGTCAACACTTGTCGTAACCCTGTATTCTATAAACTTTGTCTTCTATTCGTTAAAAATCTGTTTATTTTTTTATTATTATTTTTTTTATTATTTTATTTTTATTATTTTTTTTTATTATTTTTTTATTATTTTTTTATTAGATTTTTTTATTATATTTTTTTATTATATTTTTTTATTATATTTTTTTGTTATATTTTTTTTATAATCATTTTTATTTTATCTAAACATTATCCACTAAACAACTAAATTTGGGAAAATTTTCTTTTCTCTCATATTCTTCCTTCCCCTTCATTCATCATTCGCGCTCATTTCTAACAAATCAGCGAAAAGTTGCACAAAATATAACAGATTTTGCTTATTGAGCTTTGAACTTTCAGAAAATATTATTACATTTTGTTGTTTTATTGTTTTACAGTTGCATAAGAATTACATATATACATATACGTGTCCATCTATAAATATGTTCGAAATGGCTTAACAACAACAGCTGCTACTTAAATTCTTTCAAATACCTATGTATTTGTGGAAACTTCGAAAACTCGTTGGAGTTCATATTTTGAATAAAGTGATTATCGTTAGATATTTAATGAAATAAGTTGCATTTATTTAAATTTTTTTTCTAAATTTAGCAATAGCACTCCACTGCTATACTTTTTACATTTTCTTGTCGCCATTAAGCAAAATATTGATCATGGTGAAAATGAGGTCGATCAAATTTTTCAGTTGACAATTTTTCCCAAGCCATTATTAACATTGCAAAAAATCCTTGAAAGAAAAATAAAAGTTAAAATGAGTACTAGAACGCTGGGAGTGCATGGAGCTCATGGAATGTCTCTCTGGAAAGATGAACGTATTTGCGATTTTCTCTCTCAAGCCATAGCTAAGTTCAGCTGTCAAAAAATAAAATCTTGAGATCAAAAGTCAATAGAAACTCTCTGTAAGAATTTCCCATTCATTGCCTTCTTAGACATACTAAAATGAGTTTTCAACCGACAACGCTTGTAAAATGTGAATTGGGGGATTTGGTCATGAACACCATTGACGCTTTGTAACCGCTGAAGCGATTTTCAGCCGAGTTTCTCCTTAAATTCGTGATGTGCATTTTGATAATCTCTCCAATAAATGAAGGAACCTACAGTTTATATTAAGCCGCTCCGTAGTGCGGATTTTGATACCTCGAAACCTGGCCTTCCAATTGGCATTGCTAACCAATCCACAATTGCGGAAGTGGCCTTTAATGTTTCACTGTAAATCTTAAATCAACTAAACCTCTGCGAAATAGTATCTGCTTGCTTAGAAGTATCATCAGCATCATCAGCAAAGGAAAGTCTCAAGTTGGTGTCCCCTCTTCAATTTTATGGAATCATACATTGAATTGGTTACTGCACATAGCAATGTCCTGGTAGGTGTATAAAGTTAAATTTCACAGACGTCAACTAAATAACGGCTGAGGACTCTGCGAAAGGTTTTCACCTGCACCTCTAGCTATAGATTCTACGTGAACTTGGACATGATTGATTTTTGATTTCAAAAGCAGACAAAACTCTCCGGATATTATTCCCTTAGTGTTTTCTTTTTTTCATTGAAGCTAACCTTTTATGTGGTGGGTCAGAAATCTGACACACTGTTATAGAGGGGTTTTCTGTTTGGCTCGCTTCGAAAGAGTTGTTGGTTAGCTATTCGAACGATACCTCATCTGAGACCGGAAGACGCGAGCAACTTGTGCCTAATGTAAAGAATTAATATCTGGTTATACCGGGGATGAATGACAACCAAAAACTTTCAATGCCTTCATGCTCTTTCGATTGACGCTGCATTCTTGATTGATTCGGCTATAACCGCATAAGTCCATATAAGTCAAGGCCTTGAAATCTTAATCTTAATCAAAGATATGAGAAGTCTTCACCCCGTATGTCTGCAAAAACGTCATTGGAAAAAAATGCTTTCGAGAATTTGTCGTTGGGACCGAGACTTCCGTACCAAGCAGCAAAGATCGATTCACTTATTAACAAGTTAAAACAAACAAAAAATCGAGGTATATACATGTGTACCATTCCATCCACATTGCTACCTCTAATGTCTGTCGCATGGACAAGGCTACCCATAAAAGCAACTAAAAGCTGCTGTGGAGCACATCCACTGGATGCATTTCAAGTCGTAACTTGTCTAAAAGATCCCCAAAACTGTTTGTATGGTCTTTTAAAAGGTAGAGCCTCGGTTCAGGATGCCAATTGTCTTTGAGATAACCACCCTTTTCATAAGTAAATCGATTGTTGCCGGTCCTATATTGCCTCGATTAGTTTTGTTCTCACCCTGACACGACCTTTTTGTAGAAGTTTCCAGAATCTGCTTTACCTTACCTAAGGTAACAAGTTCATTTGCTCGGCAACTCCTCATTACGCATGTATCTAAGACTAGGGATAGTCTGAAGGGTTATGTAAGAAAACCTCTTCATCCCACCATATCAACCTGGTTTCAACAATTCTATAAACTTTAATACTCGCGCCCAAAGTATCAAATTTGCTTAACTATTTTATTTTTATTTAAAGTTTATTCGTGTAGCCTAGATGGAAACGCAGCGGTCTGTGCTGCTTTGTATAATTCTCTGGTATTCTTGAGTATCCTGATAGTCGACAGCTTTACCGTTTCTGTTCTCTTTAGCGAAGGACCGAAAGCGATACGGTCTTATGTACTGGCAATTCATCTAAAACGGCATTTGATGTGGTTCTAACCGATCCACTAATGCATTTCAACGCTGTTCTTTTAATTAAGCACCATTTTTTACTAGTACTGACATGGGGACCGTTGAAGACCTTTTCGTATCTCTGACTAATATGTTCTTTCAAGTTCAGTTTTCTATCCAGAATAAAATGATATTCAATAGGAAAGAGTTAGTAATATCTAACTGATACGAGCCATCTATACATACTCGTATGTCTCCAAGCAAAAAGGAAGAGTAGTCGGTTGTTTCCTCTCCACCAAAACGTGCACATCAGCTTGATTATTGCAGTCGGTTTCTATCCAAGATCTTAAGAATCAATGAGGAGGCAAGCACATTGGTATGCAATATTCCGGAAAAAAGAAAGATGTTTTCAACTACAGTACGAGTCGGAGGGCAATAAAAGCTCTAGACTCGATTGCGAGAATTCAAAACAGGTGCCGTATGAAGACTTTCTCTCTCTCCCTTATTTCCTTACTTAGGTATTTATAGAATTTAAATTGCGTTGCAGAGATAGTGCTGGAGAGGTATACTCCATGTAAGACAAGGCATCTCTAAAATTACATTAGTCCTGTCAAGCTACTGCCTGCTTAAAACCTGAGAGATCATTTTAATGGAAGTTACAGAAGCGGTAAGAATGTGGAGAAAGTGGAAACAGTTTTTCATCTACCTTAAAACCCTTCGCTAGCTGGAAGTGGTCTGAATTATCGCGGAGCCAATTATCTAGTTGGATTTTAGCAGTTGTCTCTTAAATACAGATGGGCGAATTGCGAGACATAAAATTAGAAAATTGTCCAGGTTGAGCAAAAAGGTGTGGTGGCGAGAGTCTCTTTTTTTGAAATCCACACTTATACTTTGGATTCTAGGAATAAGAGACTAACATTGATACAATTTTCATTGGACTTAGGGTATATGTCAGCTCATTAAATTTTCAAGATTATCCTAGAAAGGAATATTTTTTGGAACCAAATGTAAGTGATTTAGACACAGGATTTTAAGGACCCTTATTGGAAGCTTGCTTTAAATCAAGCCTATTTGTGGAAAAACTCAAAATATTGTCTGTTATTTTATTATAATTTTTATTTCCTGTATTTCAAATATATTAAAACAATAAACAAAAATATTAACAAAAAAACTACAACAATATGAAAACGGTTATTGCGATTGAAAACGCTTCGAAGCATGATAATGATTATGTTTCAGCTCTGCTTTTAATAAGAACCAATTTAACCTGTTCTTACTTCTCCGGCAATGTAGCCCAATCGGGAAACTCCTTAGCGTCCGGGTATAGAAGGTAATGCACTGACACTGAATTTACAAAGATTAGTGCCATGGTCACAAATGTCGGCATCAGGCCAGCAAGGAACTATAGAAAGAAGATATTCAAAGGGTAAGTAAGTAAATGGAATTAATAACAAGAAAAAAGAAAAAAAAAATAATGACAAAGGTGTAGAGACGTTTTCAATGCTTGAAAGTGTGTGTTGTGTAATTATCGGGATTTAACTAAATAGATCAACTCACCATTTTATTGGTACCGATTTTGGCCTCTTTGGCAACGAGCGCATTCGGAGGTGTACTGATCGGAAAAAGAAATGAAATGCTACATGCCAAGCCCGCTGGGTATATCAAATTTATTGGATGAGTTTTGGCATTGCGTGCCTAAAGAGATAAGAGAGAAAGAAGTCATGGATTAGGCAATTGAAATCTTTTTTTATCAATAGGGGCATTCTCTTAGTCTAGTCATGTTAAGCACAAGTTACCTACGAAGTTCCATGAGAAAATATTTGAATATCAAAATGTCTACGAAATCTGCCCGAGAACTATGTATATTCGAGCAACATTTTTTTACGGATCAGCTGAACACTCTTATAGAAGACTGTGCCTTCTCTATTCAGCTTTGCAGCTCATATTATTTTCTCCAGCAATAAATTAAAGAAGTTACACGATAAAGAATCATATTGTCTGTAACCTCTTTTGGTATCGATACGGCTCAGAGAAGTCCTTCCTGTTTCGGATGGAACATTTGGTGTTGCTTAACATTAGTTTACACATCCATATAATTTTTATGGGGATACCAAATTCAGACATAGGAGCGTGGTATGTCTTTTCACTGGTGTTTTCCAAATTTGACGCATGGTTGATTTACCAGATGCAAAGACTCACTGATAAGATGCAATCAGTTTGTTGACGGTGGGCTTTAGTCAATTACACAATACATTTGATAGGTCCTTAGCGAGAAGGCTTGTCGTAGTGAGAAGGTTTATCTCACGGTAATTGGCGCGGATTGTGGGTTCCCTTTTGTGGATTGGACGGAGCATACTTGGCTTCCCATCGGTAGGCAGGCTTTCATCCAGTCACATTTTGCAAAGGAGCTCTTGCATTTACGTTCTCAGATCTTCACCGCGGTTTTCTTTTTCATCGTCATCGTTCGGGGAATCGGGTACGCTGTCTCCTAGTATTCCAATTTTACTGCCAATCAGCAGGCTGGAAAGTGTTCCCTCCATAAATACAGTATACTTTCGGAATCAATTACTAGATCAGCTATTAGTGTCCTAAAAGAGCTTGCTCCGGTTTTAAACCCTCCTGTAAGTCGCCACAACTCTTCGTAGAATTTTCGAGCATTTCTCCTGTCAGCCAGCCTCTGAAGATCTTTATACTCACGGATCTCCTCTCTTTTTTGTTGTCTGCACATTTTCGGTATCTATCTCCCCCTCTCGCACGTGGGCAAGCTAGGCAGCCAGCTTTCTCTAGACTGCGGCATGGCAATCCTTATTGTACCATTTCGAAAACCAATAGTTTCGCACCTGTATGTAAGGAGCTTGAAATGCTGGGTAGCGACATCTTTCCAATTAAGGAATCGGGCTTTCCAGTTGTACGCTCTTAAATCCTTAGTCCTTAATACGTATGCAGTAGTCGTCATCAAAAGGAGGCTTTCTTATTCAAGGTGCTGCGTTACGTTTCATCGGATCTAGGCGAGTATGTATAATTTTTTTTACAAATTTGTGTAGCGAGCCACTGGCTTCAAGACCGAAGCCCCCTCGTAGCTGCACGAATTGATGAACAGACGGTGCAATGAGTGGCACCAGCGAAGTTTCCTCTTTTTACCGTGTGACCCAGGGCTCCACACGGGTTGGTTACCGAATCTTCATTGCTGAACGGAGTGCTCGACATGGACGTATGACTAGGAATTGAATATAGCCCCGCAACCGTTACAGGCATACCCAGAAGCTTAAATAAATTAAATAAATGATTTTTTTAATATTTACCATTTCTGCAACTATTGGAATAGCAACATTGGCCGCGGCTACATTCATGGTGAACATTGTGAAGAAAACACCAATAAAAATGGCAAATAACTGTAAAACCGGTACTGGTATTCCTTCGAGATATGACAGTTTACCCGAGAGCCAATGAGACAATCCAGTATCCATGTAAGCTTTTGTTATTCCGAAACCGGAGCCTAGGTAAGATATAAAATGGGTGGAATTGAGTAGGTGAATAAGAATTTATCGAAATGATTTTCTCGACAAGGAAGTTTGACGTCTGTATTGCAATCGATATTGATTAATCGAAATTCAGTTTTTTTCACAGTGTAAATCTCAACACTACTTACCCATTATGAAAATGATGCCCCAAGGGAAATTATTATTTACATATTTCCATGAGAGCAATGGTGGTGTGGGATTATTGGGAAAGGGACCTATGTATGTAAAAAGATTAAAATATATAATTTTTATAAATATGCCACATGTTTGTTTATAAGTATTAGAAAATGGCGCTGACTAACCTTTACCGCCACAATATTTCAAATAATTATAATTTGCCGGTAAATAAAAGAGCAAAAGAACAATCGCAATCACTGGAGTGGCGCCGAGTATAAAGCTGGAAAAGTGAAAATGACTAGTAAGTATTAAATACTCGTATACATAAATAGAGAATGAGGAACTCAAATAAATGCCATTAAAAATCTGCCTACCCACATACCCAGTTAAGTAAATATTGCTTTTATGTGGAAAAATTCACAATATTACTTACTTATATTTATTCAGGGCATCTCCCCAACCCTGCATAAATTCAGGCGATCGAAAGGTAAGCGCCATCACTAGTACCACACATAAGATTAGAACTTGAGTTTTATGAATATTCATTCCACCGATATTCTCGAGCTTGACTTTAACCACTTCGGCAACATCCTTCGAACTTTTGGCGAAACCCGAGAGTGCAGCAGCGGTTTCACCCTTCGGACGGAATAGTCCAAAATGTGTTATTGAAAGTGAGAAGTACAAGAGAAATAAAGCCACTATCACCCATGGTATATTGTAGGCCATGGCCTTCGGGAAGTGTATGTAATCCGTGGTATTTGGGAATAAACTGAAATAGAAATAATAATAAAGAAAACAATTCAAGTACACGAACTGTAAAGTTTTGACTAGAAAATATTCTAATAATGTCAAATATCTTTCAAGGTGAGTTTGTCTGCCATAAAATGTACGGCGGAGCCATAAATTCTCGCCAATTACTGCTATTTTACGAGAGCTATTTACTAATAAACTCCGAGGACCGACAAATCCACATTTTCCCACCACACAAAAGGTAAGTTTCATTCTCTGACACGCTTAGCGTGCGTTCCTGTTCTTATCGGTTTAGTCGCAAATCAAGACTTACGATAGCCGAGTTGATAACGTCTCTCCCTGCCATGCATGAGATACACGATTCAAAACACGTTGCACGCAAGTTTATTTTCATCCCTAACTGGTATTTAACTACTATGAAGCTGATGCAGAGTAGGACAATAGGTATTCGTAGTGCATTACCGTATAAGAAAAATACCACTTCAACAATTATAGTTGAGTCAAGAAAAATATACATTGCAGATGCCAAGTGGAAACCGGCTCTTCTCTTCTAAATTACTCCGATAAAAGAGAGTTCTCATTGGTCTGCACTGTCCAAAGAATGCTGTTTTGAAAACAATTAAAGCTACTGAATCTTAAATCTCCGTACGAACCTTTTGTCATCATGTATCGCTCTAAGAAAAGGCGTGTTTGCCAGAAAAGTATCTGTTGCAAACGTAGCCTTTCGAACTCGAACATCGGCTGCTTATCTCCGTTGCCTGAAGAAATGGTTAGATCTCAAAAAACTGGAGTAACGTACAACCATATATCGAACTCCGATGTACCGTTTAGAAAAATATTAGGATCCATATGCATAGGACAAATGGATAGACCTGTCGTTCAGGGAAATGTCTTCAAAGCATAGGCTTTAAAGCGATTAACAGCTGAACAGAGGTACCACTCGAGCCAAAGGAGCGAATAATCCACGTGTTTTTAATAAGCTTTCCATTGTTGTCAATGCATGCCATTGAAACTTTGGGTCCGGCGAAGTGGATCAGGATCAGTACATTCGGCGTTAAGGTCGTCAATCACTCGGAAAGGGCTTTGATGCGAAATGTGACAGGACGTTCACTAAACGGGGTGAACTCAGTCTCTCTTTTTCCAAATTTGCGCTCCTTTATATGGCCGCTGTTACCTACTCGTTACCGTCTTTTTCCCGTCCATCACAATTCTTGGATCATTCAGTCAGTCTCAGTCTTTAGTCAACCAGCTGGACAGGACCACCTTCTCAGTAAGATACTTGAGAATCCAGCTAGATGCCATAAAATCGTTGTCTTTAGTACATTTGCTCTCAAATGGGGTCTCCCATTTTTACATATATCCCATAGTTATATAGCAAGCCACTTGTCTCCCCTACCCTGGTGAGCCTCCACTTCAAAAAAGACATTGATTAACCTTTAACAGGAAATGGGCTGGTTACCACATCTCTTAGAAGGGTCACTAACATTTCCTAGGTGTGTGAGGTATATTGGTAAAAATATTATATTTTTTAATTTTCTTGAAATTCTTGGAGGCAATAAATTCCTCGGGTAGAGAAGAAATTAGGGAGATAAGAGGCTGTAGAAATTTAAAACTTTATTTCACTCTATCGCTGACCACTGTAAGTTTATTTACTCCGGGAATGACCCTCGCTTTCTATCAAACTACAAAATATTTTTTTACAAATTAGAGATTATATAATCAATGTTTTATGTATCGGTATATAGAGCGTGTCTGCTCGGAGGAAGAAGCGTAATAATCATCTAGATTTGTACGACTGCTTAACTCCCCACTTTCTCCTCAGCCGGGAGGAAATGGAAAAATACTTCTACTTTAAAAAAAATCGCACAGCCAGGAAATGTTAGCAACAGTTCCTCCAAACGACTGAGGAATACAGAAGGATTGGTTGGCTTATTTTGCCGAGAGACGATCGCAATTACAAAACACTCGGCTAATAAGGCCGCCATCTTTTTTTATATTTCGAAGAAATACTCACTTCTCATACATGCCCTTTGTGGCGAAATTAGTTGCGCTACCCAGCAATGTTGCACAACCACCGATCGTCGCAGCATAAGCAATGGCCAAGTAATAACCAGTGGCAAGATGTGTAGCCCCTCTATCTCTGTAAATGACACAAAAAAAGTAAAAAAGAAATTCCAAATTTCAATAAAATTCTCCTACTCTTCCTCTTGATTCGGCTTTTTATCCTCCCTCGTTCGAAGACCATTCTGAAAATATTATTCTTGGCGAAATATTTCTCAACTCAGATCTAACAAATGGACAACTTACCACTTCGAATTCTTCAAGTATGGCTTTTGCTATGGGCAACATGATTGCTGTGGTAATCGTATTTTGCATCCACATCGATATGAATCCTGTAGTCAATATGAGTGCAAGAACGACGCTGGAAGCAATATTAGAAAATATATAAAAATATGATAAAAAGCATAAAAAAATTCCGAAAAGTAAATTTTCTCTTATTACCGTCTGGGACTAACGCCAATGAAGCTTAGTAAACCAAGAGCAATTTGGCCAGCTAAATTACTGCTTTTCGAGCTTAGACCCACCATAACACCGCCGATATACATCGCTAACGGTACAGTAAAATATTGCTTGCAAATTTCGTCTGAGTCCTGAGTAAAAGCGAAATTTACTTACATACATACATTCCGAAAAATTGGTTGAAATTTTAATGAATTACCAATATACCCATAAATGGCATCAGAACAATCGGTAAAATACCAGTCGCATATAATGGTACCACGCCAGTTAACCAATAGATGGACAAAAGTAAAAAAACGTAGAGACAACGAAGAGGCTACGAAAGATAAGAGTTGGATATTAAACTGGAGAGAGAGAGAGAGAGAGGCACTGACCGACTTACCTTTTCGTAATTTGGTACCATCAAAGGCAGCAGCATCACGGGCGCTAAGAACATGATTATGCCACGCCAATGATATTTAAATAAATTTCCGTACATGCGCGGGCATGAGGTATCCCCTTTGCTGCAGAAAAAAAAAATAATAATTTTAATAACAAAAAGACTTGCACAAAATTGCAACAAGGACTTACCCTTCCTCCATAGTTTTTCAATTAAATTATTTGTAGAAAATCAACGAAATTCCAAGCAGAAAAAAATAAAAGTATTTATAAAAAATGTTTATCGTCGCTCAGTTCTCTTTTTACACCAAAAGTCAGAGATGAATAAATTAATTATTTTTTATTGCAGTCAGTTGGTGACAGTCAGTGTTTTGACATTATGCACACTTTTGTATATTTTGTAGATAATTATTAGATCTACCAGAAAGGAGTCCATTATTTTTACCTTAAATAGTTAGAAACCTTAGTCCCTAAATAGGAATAATCGATTTTCAGAGGCTTCTCTTGAGTTCAATTCTTCACTAGTCAAATCATTAGCCATAAACAGTAACAAATGGTAGATACTTGTGTGTTGTCCGGACTCCCAGGTGCATGCATAAGAACCTCCAAACCAAGCTTTCGGAGATTCTAGTGAGTCACTGTCGATGTGTTCTGGTCTGGCGTTGTCCTGATGAAACACAATTCTCCTGTTGACCAAAGCTGGGCGCAGCCGGGGTATTGCTTCCTTCCTTCAAACGATCCAATTGCTGTAAGTAAAACCTTGGTGGTCGTTAATTCAGACTTGGAGTCCGTTTTTGGCGACTCACTGCCTTTCGATTACGACCGTTTTGATGTAACTGAAAGTGTGTCACTTTTAATCACTATTCACCATCCGCTTCAGGAAAGGCGGAATTTTTCACGATCCAACAGCGATTCGCGGATGGAAAATCTGTCCATGAGGTTTTGTCCCGTTAACTCATGTGGCACCCATACAAAGAGCTTCTTCGTGTATCCAGCCTTTTTCGAGTTCTTGATGCATGCTCTCAGATATTAGATTTATAAGTGGAGTCAACATTCTTCCTTACTGTTGCCGGCGGCTCTGTACTGCACCGAGGAGGTTTCGTATAATGATTGGAAAACGTTAGTAGACCTTGTCGATGTTAGGATCTCTAAGCTATATCAATCGTCTAGCAGAACTTCATGAATTTGGTGGCGAGGTTTTCGATTCGCTGCGGGTGCAGATAGCTTTGTTGTTCATCCTTCATTTATAGGCTCTTATATAAGTTAACTATGATCACATCGTCTTTCTTTTTCATTAGGATGTAAACACAAAGCAGTTATATATTGAAAAATTCTCGCTTTAAGGGAATCCAAACCGAATTTGCGCTCTCAAGGACTTATTAAAAACCGGCCATGTGCAGTGCATCGCGTCTCTTTGATGGTAGTGCTGTCCGACTTAATTTTAATGTAAAAAAATCAGCTGTGCAACGGTAACCTCTCAATTGAGGAACCAAACATTCTAGATGCTTGCCCTCTAACCGAAATCATAAAGTAAGCTATTTGTGGTTGCCATCAAAAATGGATTATTTTCTTTTTTCATTGGACTGGTTTATGAAGTGACAGCCCAGTCAAGTCCAGCGCCCAACGTCGCTGCACGAGATGAAACATATAAATTCAAAACAAATTTCTATAGCGAGCCGCTTGTTCTAACACCCTGGCTTGCAGCTGAGCACGAAGTGTAAAGTGAAGATATTTCTTTTATTAGAACACATTTCGTGAAACTTTGCACCTATAGGTATAAAGGTATGCCGAGGGTTTAAAAATCGGTGTGAATTTCAGATCTTAGTCTCTAAGACTGTATGGCTAAGAAGAAAGTGTTACAAAATGCCTCCAACGAAGTCATTTTGGAAGTCTAAGATAAATCAAAGTATAGAAAGTACAATCGACTGACAAAGTTTTCATACAAAGAAACTTGAAGATCCACATGTATTAAAAAATATCGACCGATGGATTGTTGCTATGGCCCCTGGAATGTTTCTTCCAAGGAATTAATTATGGTTCGATTTATTCGAAATTCGGTACAAAGGTGGGTTTCTACTTACATTAGCAGGAAAACTACTCTTCTCTTCGGGAAGTGGACCAGGGCACCCCTTATTTTACTGACCTATACGAAGAAAACCCGAAACCCCAATGGATGACGATGGCAAAGACGTTCCATTACCTGACCATGAAGAAGTTCGAATAGCAATCGCCCGCTTAAAAAACAACAAAGTGGCGGGAGCTGACGGCCTACAAACAATGGCGGTGAAGAGCTGACAAGGTGCATGCATCAGCTACTTTACAGAATACAGTCGGACGAAAGCATGCCCGACAATCCATAAAAAAGGGGATCCCACAGTCAGTGGTCCCTATAAGGTCCTGTCGAGCGTATTTTGTGAAAGCTTGAAGCCCACCGTCAACAAACTGATTGGACCGTATCAGTGTGGCTTCAGACCTGGTAAGTCAACCATTGACCAGATATTCACTACGCGCCAAATCTTGCAAAAGACCCGTGAAAAGAGGATCGACACACACCACCTCTTCGACGATTTTAAAGCCGCCTTCTATGCCGCTATGTTTGAATTAGGTATCCCCGCAAAACTTATACGGCTGTGTAAGCTGACGCTAGACAACACCTAAAGCGCAGTCAGAATCGGGAAGGACCTCTCCGAGCCGTTCGATACCAAACGAGTCTTCAGAGAGGGTGACTCCTTGTCGTGTGATTTCTTCAATTTGATGCTGGAGAGAATAGTAAGAGCTGCAGAGCTGAATAGAGAAGGTAAAATCTTCTATAAGAGTGTACAACTACTGGCATACGCCGATGATATTATCGGCCTCAACAACCGCGCCGTTCTGCTTTCTCCAGGCTTGATAAAGAAGCGAGGCGAATGGGTCTGGTAGTGAACGAGGACAAGATGAAATATCTCCTGCCATCAAACAAACAATCATCGCATTCGCGACTTGACTACCACGTCACTGTTGACTGTCATAATTTTGAAGTCGTCGATAATTTCGTCTATCTAGGAACCAGCATTAACACCAATAATAACGTCAGCCATGAAATCCAACGGATAATCACTCTTGCTAACAGGTGTACAACTACTGGCATACGCCGATGATATTATCGGCCTCAACAACCGCGCCTTTCTGCTTTCTCCAGGCTTGATAAAGAAGCGAGGCGAATGGGTCTGGTAGTGAACGAGGACAAGATGAAATATCTCCTGCCATCAAACAAACAATCATCGCATTCGCGACTTGACTACCACGTCACTGTTGACAGTCATAATTTTGAAGTCGTCGATAATTTCGTCTATCTAGGAACCAGCATTAACACCAATAATAACATCAGCCATGAAATCCAACGGATAATCACTCTTGCTAACAGGTGCTACTTTGGACTAAGTAGCGATTGAAAAGTAAAGTCCTCTCTCGGCAAACGAAAACCAAACTCTCCCCCTCGTTCCCGTCCTGCTATATGGTGCAGAAGCATGGACGATGTCAACAGCTGATGAGACGGCGTTAGGAGTTCTAGAGAATGGTTGGCAACGGCAAATATCGCAGACGACGGAACGATGGCTGTACGAGTTATATGGCGACATTGATTTAGTTCAGCGAATCAAGAAGCAGCGACTAGGTCATGTGGTCCGGATAGATACGAATACTCCAGCTTTTAAAGTTTTCGATGCAGTACCCGCCGGTGGAAGAAGAGGAAAACCTCCTCTGCGTTGGAAGGATCAGGTGGGGAGTGACCTGGCCTCACTTGGTATTTTCAACTGGTGCCGATGAGCGAAAAGAAGGGATGAATAGCATAATATTATTGATTCGGCTATAATCCCGTTGACAGCTGCGGTAGCCGAGTGGTTAGCATTACGCACTGCCATACGGATAGCTCGGGTTCAAGTCCTTGTGTCGTGCTAACATGCAAAAAGCTGTAGAAAATAAGTTTAAATAAAAAATTAAGTAAAATTTTGCAACGGCGGTCGCACCACGGCAGGGAATGTCAACCGCGCCGAGTGTGTTTTTGACAAGAAATAAAGCTCCTCATAAAAAACCTTCAGCCGTTCGGAGGCGGTACCTCCATTTGATTGAAAAACATCAAGATGCAAAACCAAAAATTAGAGAAAGAGCTCGGCCATAAATCGCTTCGGCGGTTGCATAGCGCCAATTATATATATAATTGTGTAAGCGGTGCCAACGGTGCCAATAAAGAATAAGAGGAAGAATATTCCTTTCCACGGGATCTGTACCAGAGACTCACTCTCTATCTCTTTTCTTAAGCTTCGTTTTAGTTGAATTTTCGATGAAATTTCCAAATAGAATACTCTCGTTTCCTAGACAAGGACTAGAGACCTAGAGCCAAGTTTTTAAAAGTATTTCAACAACCTTTTCTGACATAAAACCAAACTGATTTAGTATAAAATCTTATTGGTATACAGAATATTTCAAACGGTCTATGGTGAGTTTCGTAGCAAACTTAAGAAGCAAATACTTTAAGTTCCACTTGTCAGTTCACTCGCTTACCTGCTGTGTACGAGTATTTCTACAACTCGTCAACTCCAGATTACTTTTTACATCTATATACATATACAAAGAGAGGACGTAACCAAAAATGTATGTTACATATCTACAAGAACACATACGAAAATATGTGAGTGAACTTTGTTCTGTGCTCATACTCGTATGCAATGTTGTCAGCATATTTATGGATGCATATGTTTGTACATATGTGTGCACATATGTATGTATGTTGGTCGTAATGAAATCAAGTGCATTCTTTTAAATTGGGTTACAGTGGTAAAAGGGCAGTCGAAGTTTAATCAATTCTTTAATATTGTCAAATTCATAAACTGTGATCACAAATGATATTACATACATACATATATGATAACTTAGATGTTGCAACTGCCAAAAAAAAAATAACGATTTGAGGAGCCTAACGGAATATTATGTATGAATGAAGAGATTTTCCTCCAAGCTCTTCCTCCAATTTGTGATGTGAGTTTTGATGTTTTACCAACAAATGGAGGGACCTACAATTTATACTAAGCTGCCTCAGAACGGGTGATAGTTTTTTATTTTTTGTCATTCGTACCGTAATTACAAAAATTATTTTTGGATGTTTGTCGAACCAAGACTGGAAACCTGGCCTACCGTATGGCAGTACGCATTGCGAATAACTCGGAGAATGTTAAGTGTATTCACTTGAGCATTAGGCTCATGGAACGAAAAGCCTATGAACTTAATGAATATCAACATGAACGTTAATAGCCGAGCAGAGGGGATATCAGT